ACATTAACTACCTTAACTACACAACATTAACTACCTTAACTACACAACATTAACTACCTTAACTACACAACATTAACTACCTTAACTACACAACATTAACTACCTTAACTACACAACATTAACTACCTTAACTACACAACATTAACTACCTTAACTACACAACATTAACTACCTTAACTACACAACATTAACTACCTTAACTACACAACATTAACTACCTTAACTACACAACATTAATTACCTTAACTTCACAACATTAACTACCTTAACTACACAACATTAACTACCTTAACTACACAACATTAATTACCTTAACTTCACAACATTAACTACCTTAACTACACAACATTAACTACCTTAACTATGCAACATTAACCACTTCATGCAACATTAACAAGTTTCACTCAACTCATCTATGTCAACTTTCAGTATCAACTCACACTGAGCCTATATTAGTTTTTTTTTCCAATATTTTGAGCACACAGATCACTCAAAAATTAGTTGTGTTGATGTGTGAGTTTTTACGAATTTTGTTCTATTTAATGAATATTTTTAATATAGTGAATATAATGAACAACGAAATAATGCTGTGGTATATTCGCTACAGTATATAGTATTGTGATATTCACTTTAGTATCGTGGTATATTCACTATAGTTTATAGTATATTCGCTGGAATATAGAGAATATTCACTACAGTACATAGTACTGTGGTATATTTACTATAATATATAATACTGTGTTATACTTACTATAGTTTATAATATATTCGCTATTGTATATTCACTGTAGTATATAATATTGTGGTATATTTACTACAGTATATAGTATTTTCACTATAGTTTATAGTATTATGGTATATTCATTACAGTATAGAGTACATTCAATAGTTTATGGTATATTCGCTAGAGTATATAGTATATTCACTATATTATATTGTGGTATATTTACTATAGTTTATAATATATTCGCTATAGTATATTCACTACAGTACATAGTATTGTGGTATATTCACTATATTATATAGTATATTCACAACAGCATAGTGGTATATTCACTATATTATATAGTATATTCACAACAGTATAGTTGTATATTCACTATATTATATAGTATATTCACAACAGTATAGTGGTATATTCACTATATTATATAGTATATTCACAACAGTATAGTGGTATATTCACTATATTATATAGTATATTCACAACAGTATAGTGGTATATTCACTATATTATATAGTATATTCACAACAGTATAGTGGTATATTCACTATATTATATAGTATATTCACAACAGTATATTTGTATATTCACTATATTATATAGTATATTCACAACAGTATAGTGGTATATTCACTATTTACATAGTATATTCACAACAGTATAGTGGTATATTCACTAATTTAATAGTATATTCACAACAGTATAGTGGTATATTCACTATGTTACATAGTATATTCACAACAGTATAGTGGTATATTCACTATGTTACATAGTATATTCACAACAGTATAGTGGTATATTCATTAACACTCGACCAAGAGTCATGTGTTAGCGAATATTCAAATGTGACTTATATTTTTTTGAAATTTACAGTGCAGGATTATTATTATTATTATCATAATCAAGGGGGAAGCGCTAAACCCGGAAGATTATACAGCGCCTGGGGGGGATGTGGAAGGCATTCAGGCTTAATTCGGGGAACTGGAGCACAGATCCAACTCCCTAAATCAAGAGCCCCTCACCAACATCAAGGAACCTTCCTGAGCAGGAGAATCATTAATAAAATAATAAATCAGCGAACTAGACCTTTAAATGTCAGTCTAGTTTTTTTGATCACTGTAAGGTCAGTGTTTAGAGATAACTCTATAGTTAACTTAAAATATAACTACTTAACCTTTCTTCATCACTGTAAGGTCAGATAATAAACCCATGAGTTGTCTAATAAACCCATGAGTTGTCTAAGATAATAAACCCATGAGTTGTCTAAGATAATAAACTCATGAGTTGTCTAAGATAATAAACCCATGAGTTGTCTAATAAACCCATGAGTTGTCTAAGATAATAAACCCATGAGTTGTCTAACAGATAATAAACCCATGAGTTGTCTAAGATAATAAACCCATGAGTTGTCTAAGATAATAAACTCATGAGTTGTCTAAGATAATAAACCCATGAGTTGTCTAATAAACCCATGAGTTGTCTAAGATAATAAACCCATGAGTTGTCTAAGATAATAAACCCATGAGTTGTCTAATAAACCCATGAGTTGTCTAAGATAATAAACCCATGAGTTGTCTAATAAACCCATGAGTTGTCTAAGATAATAAACCCATGAGTTGTCTAATAAACCCATGAGTTGTCTAAGATAATAAACTCATGAGTTGTCTAAGATAATAAACCCATGAGTTGTCTAATAAACCCAAGAGTTGTCTAATAAACCCATGAGTTGTCTAATAAACCCATGAGTTGTCTAATAAACCCATGAGTTGTCTAATAAACCCATGAGTTGTCTAAGATAATAAACTTATGAGTTGTCTAAGATAATAAACCCATGAGTTGTCTAAGACAATAAACCCATGAGTTGTCTAAGATAATAAACCCATGAGTTGTCTTAGATAATAAACTCATGAGTTGTCTAAGATAATAAACCCATGAGTTGTCTAATAAACCCATGAGTTGTCTAATAAACCCATGAGTTGTCTAAGATAATAAACTTATGAGTTGTCTAAGATAATAAACCCATGAGTTGTCTAAGATAATAAACCCATGAGTTGTCTAAGATAATAAACCCATGAGTTGTCTAAGATAATAAACCCATGAGTTGTCTAAGATAATAAACCCATGAGTTGTCTAAGATAATAAACCCATGAGTTGTCTAAGATAATAAACCCATGAGTTGTCTAAGATAATAAACCCATGAATTGTCTAAGATAATAAACCCATGAGTTGTCTAAGATAATAAACCCATGAGTTGTCTAAGATAATAAACCCATGAGTTGTCTAAGATAATAAACCCATGAGTTGTCTAATAAACCCATGAGTTGTCTAAGATAATAAACTCATAAATGAGACTAATAACCTATAACTCATACCACGATGTATAACGATAATATAATCTTGTATAACTGTGTGTACGCTTGTGATGTGACATTTTTTTCTATAATATTTCAATGTTGTAACTGGAATGGCAAAGATTTGGAGTAAATTTTCATTTTTGTAATAATTCACATTGTTTTAAACACGACATATTCACTAATGTGTAAACATCTCAATATAAATGTACTAGGAAATACACACTTATACGAGTATATATACTGAAATATACACCAGTGTATATTAATTAGGAGATATACATTATCCTTGATGCCTGAGTATCCTTGAAACTTCCAAAGGTAATATACGGAAATATGCATAGTAAGTTTCTTTAGTTAGTATACATATGTATATATACATGTGTGATACATATATACGTACTTGATTGTTCTTTATTGTATTAGATTACTAGTGTTTATAAGATAAGTAATGTATTAATAGTTCCCTTGATTATATTCAGCTTCTTACTGCTGAATGTAACTGTTGTTACATTCAGTTACATTTGAGTGATGTATGGGAGGAAGTAGGAAGTAGGAAGAAGAGGAAGAAGAAGAGGAAGAAGAAGAGGAAGAAGAGGAAGAAGAGGAAGAAGAAGAGGAAGAAGAGGAAGAAGAGGAAGAAGAGGAAGAAGAGGAAGAAGAGAAGATGAGGTAGAGAAGAAGAGGCTGGATGAGGTTATATTATTATAATAAAAAAGAAGCGCTAAACCACAAGGGTTATAGAGCACTGCATGGACGAGATTATAAAATAATCAGATACTTACGATGTGGGACATGATGTTAGAAGTCTGGAAGATGGACCAGAAGTGTAGATATGGACCCATGTGGACCACCTGTACCACTACACTGTGTTCTCATCACTACAGCACATCACTGCGCCTTCACCACATCACTACACCTTCACCACATCACATAACCACCACTACACTACACATCCACAATATATTTACTGAGCACCAACGTCTGAGGAATGACCAGCCTAGATAGACTTGGCCTCCTTCACCTCTCTCACCCACATCATCTTACCATCTATTATCACCTTTTCCAAGGCTTTCACCGACCTATTATCACACATACACTTTCCCAGACACCAACTGCAGTAGCACAGCGCATCTTGAGCTCTTTCTCATTTACTAGTAGTGAAAAGTGAGTGAAAAAAGTGAGGAAACTGTGCCATCAGCCTGGCCTATACCGAGCATCTTCCATTCAGTGTCGTCTGCTCAGTGTGGACACGCGCAAACGCACTTCTGGCCCGTATATCAGCATCCTTATATGTTGAATACTATCTGATGGCCACTATACCTCACTACTTACTACTCGCACTTTACTATCTACTTGAAGACTATCTGTACACAATAATATCTCCACTATAGTCGCCCATTGAAGACATTTCTAATACCAGAAAATGTCTCTGAGGGAAATTAGGCACTTTTGACTTTTTTAGGGGGTTATCCTAGGTTATTTACACATATGTTAGTATGTGTGATAATTTGTGTAACTGTATTTATGTGTAGTTATACCTGAATATAGTTACTTTAATTAAAGGAACTGGAAATGGCTATTAAAGCTTGAATGGAAATGAATGGGGAAAGACGAGTCATTATTCATATTGTCTCTCACAGTTGCTGGGAGATGATGATGATGATGATGATTATGATGAGAATAATCTCATTATAACTTTAAATATTACTGCAACTTACCCCCCTAAGGGAGGGTCCTTGATGCCGGTGAGAGAGAGGGGGTGGGCTCTTGATCTTAGGAATTAAACCTCTTCTCCCCTTGCTTGCATCGAACTTGCACGCCCCCCATTAACCCCAGGCGTTGCATGACCCTTACAGGTTTACCGCTCCCCTAATGCGACTTCGTCATCCGAACACTTGAAGAATGTGTCAACAAGGGGTTGAGACACGGGGGGGTAAACAGTGGTCAGCTGACTGGCTGAGCAGCAGAAGTGTGTCTCATTATGTGCTCATATACGCCCCTCCACGCCCTCATCTCTCACTACTTCTGAGAGAACCAGACGGGTGATGTGTCCAGCTTGAGTGGGGGAATGCGTCAAGCTTAAGTGTAAGGAGAGAAGCTTGATATATGACCATGAGTGAGCGGGATTATTCTCCGCTGAGCTCTGCGTGTGTTAGAGCTCTCAGTGACAAGCTCTATGACAAGAGGAAAGCCGCCGCCCTCGAAATTGAAAAGTAATATTTGGCTTCTTTTTCAGTGCTATTTTTGACAGTTATTTAACATAAAGGCTTTTTTGAGCTTATCGATAGAGTATTATGTGCATTTTCCAATATTAATTTGACTGAAATAGGCGCAGTTATATTTGACGTCTGACTTTTTTTTTTGGATTATACCGGGTAATTGACACATTTTAAACTGTGTTTGATAATTATACTTATATCTACCTGTATCTAAATAATTTTTTTTTATTAACCTGAGGAACCCAGCCTCTCCCGAGCAAACTTAAACCTACCCAGACTAGAAGATAAATTCTAGGCTACATCTGGTTGGGTTTGTTAGATTTAGGTTTAGTTTTGGGTCCAGATTATAACTATGTCCACCCCTCAAGGGAAGTTCCTTGATGCTGGTGAGGGGCTCTTGATCCAGAGAATTGGATTTATGCTCCAGTTCCCTGAAAAAGAAAAACTTTCACCATCATTCACTCCATCACTGTCTTGCCAGAAGGGTGCTTTACACTACAGTTTTTAAACTGCAACATTAACACCCCTCCTTCAGAGTGCAGGCACTGTACTGGAGATGGGAAGTACAGTGTCTGCACTCTGAAGGAGGGGTGTTAATGTTGCAGTTTAAAAACTGTAGTGTAAAGCACCCTTCTGGCAAGACAGTGATGGAGTGAATGATGGTGAAAGTTTTTCTTTTTCAGGCCACCCTGCCTTGGTGGGAATCAGCCAGTGTGATAATAAATAAATAAATTCCCTCCCTAAATTGAGCCTGAATGCCTTCCACCCCCCCCCACATGCTCCTGTATAATCCTCTGGGTTTAGCGCTCCCCCCAGATTATAATAATAATATAACTGTCCAGTGCTCATCTTGCTTAATAATGAAGAATTTACACAATAAAATGAACAGTCCTGAATTTATTTATTTATTTATTTTTTATTATTAATTTGGACATGATACATAGATGTACAAAGAATTACAGTGGTTAAATGTAACATGCCAAAAGCCCCTTGTATTCAGAGCATTATGGGCAGTTTAAGATTAACTAAGCAATGATATATTCAGTGGTAAAAATTATAGTGAACAAATAACAATTAAGCACAAATGAGTATTTCAAATATTAGCATTTATTATTGATCTTTATTATATGTTATTATATGGTTTTTTCGTATGAAGTCAGTATGTGCAGATTTTTGCACATGTCTTAAATAGTAACTTGTGTAAAAATTTACCTAGGATAACCCAGTAAAGTCAGACACTGTGACTTATTTCTATTATTAGTATGAATAAAAAATAAATAATAAGGACCCCAACATAGACATGGCACTTTTCTGGGGAGATAGAAATGTTTTCTAATAATGAACTTAGAAGGTTGATAGCCCAGAAAAACCCAATGGAGTTTGCATCATCAGGGACTGTCTTGTTTATATTGGGGTCCTTTAATTCTCTTCCCCAGGAAACTACCCAAAATAGTCTCCTAACATCCGAGTACTCACTTACTGCTAGGTTAACAGGGGCAGCAATTATAAAGAAACATGCCCCATATCTCACCCTCAGTGTGTGAGCTGAGGACACTATAATCCAAGCCACGAGCAGAAAAAATTGCTCTGAATTTTTTAAGAGTGTATTCATGGCCATTGAAGCACAATGGCCATGAGTACACACTTAAATATACTACCAAAGAAATATAATATAATATACTACCAAATATAATATACTACCAAAGAATATAATATACTACCAAAGTTACATTATGAGGAACTAACATATGATAAAAGTTATTCTTTAATATTGCAGATTAAATCAATTAATCCATTTCAGACAAAATAACCAGTAGAGTATCAAAGAATCTGCCATGAATGTGTTCAGCATTGTACTTAATGGGTGCTTGCAGTCTAATAATTGTCTTCCCCACCTGTTCACCTCAGACATTTATAGATTTAAATGAAAATAAGTCACACTAATTTATTAGGTTATCATAGATTCAGTATGCATAATTTATCACTAGTTTATGCTTGCCATTTATGTTCTCATTGAAAACTTTGTATAAATTTATTATTGTGAATTAAGTCATGTCTATTTAACCTGAATAAAGCATGTCTATAAACATCCATGGCCCAAGTCACTTCAGCTTTATACCAGTTGATATAATAATATTACTGAACCAAATTTAATTTTATTTATTTATTTTATTTATTTGTCTTTGCATATAGTACATTAAGATTATGTATTTACAATACAGTGGACCCTCGACTAACGCTATTAATCCGTTCCTGAGAGCTCATCGTTAGTTAAAATAATCGTTAGTCAAGTTAATTTTCCCCATAAGAAATAATGGAAATCAAATTAATCCGTGCAAGACACCCAAAAGTATTGAAAAAAAAAAATTAACACATGAAATGTTAATTTTAATACACACAAACTGAAGAAGACATGCACAGTTACATGACACTTATCTTTATTGAAGATCTGGTGATGATTGATGGGATGGGAAGAGGGGAGTGTGTTGATGGTCTTAGTGTTTAGAAGGGGAATCCCCTTCCATTAGGACTTGAGGTGGCAAGTCCTTTTTCGGGGTTACTTCCCTTCTTCTTTTAATGCCACTAGGACCAGCTTGAGTCACTGGACCTCTGTCGCACAACATATCTGCCCATAGAGGCCTGTACCTCCCGTTCCTTTATGACATTCCTAAAGTGTTTCACAACATTGTCAGTGTCACCATTAAACACTTGTTCAGGTTTCAGTCCTTCACTGTCTATGTACTCTTTGAATTCCTGCACATATTTTTCAGCTGCTTTTTGGTCCAAACTGGCAGCCTCACCATGCCTTATCACTATGTATGCCACTACGATTCTTAAATCTCTCAAACCAACCTTTGCTGGCCTTAAATTCACTCACATCACCACTAGTTGCTGGCATTTTCACATATGATCGCTTGAGAGATGCTATCTCCTGCTATCTGTTTTTCGTTTATCCATACCAATAACAGTCTCTCAACATCTTCTATCACTTGCGATCTCAGTTTCGAAAACATAGTTGCACCTTTGGCAAGAACAGCTTCCTTGATTGCCGTTTTCTTGGCCACAATAGTAGCGATGGTTGATTGGGGTTTTGTGTACAGCCTGGCCAGCTCGGAGACATGCACTCCACTTTCATACTTAGCAATGATCTCTTTCTTCATATCCATAGTAATTCTCACCCTTTTTGCTGTAGGGTTGGCACTAGAAGCTTTCTTGGGGCCCATGGTGACTTATTTTGCAGGTGCAATCACTAAAAAGGCTGTGATAATATGAAATGTTCCGATTGTATGCTTGGAAGCGACCACGGTGGCTGGCTGGCTTGTAAACACTGGCCAGAAATGGACGCGTCTCAGATGGAACGAATAGTGTTGGTCGAGTTTTTTAGCGCTAATCGAGGCAAAATTTTTGCGATAAAGTGTATCGCTAGTCAGATTTATCGTTAATCGATGCCATCGCTGGTCGAGGGTCCACTGTAATGGGTTGCAGTGCAAAGAGATTACTTTTTTCTCAAGAACACAAGAATGAAGAAATACTTGCATAGGCATATTGGCCCATGCTAGGCAGGTTCAACACCCACCCACACACTTGTGTATCCATCCAACCTACATTTAAAGCTGCTCAAAGGACCCTAATGGAAATAAGTCTCATTGTCTGACTTCTTTTTGGTTATCCTGGGTAATTTACACATATGTTAACTATGTATAATAATGTGTACCTGTACTTAAATACACTTATATGACAATACCACGTCATTCTGTTGCCAAACTGGTACTTCCATATACTTACTGTAGTGAAGCAATTCTTAAGCTAATGTGCAGTATCAGAAGGTAAGATGTAAGCTTCATTTATTTTGGAAGAGGATTTTCCAGATTACATACAGAGTACTGTATATATGGTAATTTAAACTTATTAACCCTTTCAGGGTCTAAAGGCCAAATTTCAAAGTGTGCACCAGTGTCCAAGAATTTTCAAAAAATACCTCTTCAAGGGGGGCTCCTTGGCGTGGTGAAGAGGCTCTTGGTCTGAGGAATTAGACCTGTTGGTCTCCTTCCTCAGACCGAACCTAATTACCCCCCAATCCCCCCTTTCCCTATCCCATCCTCCCTTTTTCCTTTTCTCCTCCCCCCCCCCCGTCCCTCCCTTATTCCCTTCCTCTTTTTGGCCTTTGGGATTCTTCCCATAGGCCCACTGGTTCCTAGGTAAGAGGAAGGGTACTGGGGTCAATCCCATTCCGTTGAGGTTCTTGGCGGTGGTGTAGCTTGCCATGGAATCTGGATCGCCTGGGGATATCCCGTTCCCTCTCCCGTCTCCCGGGGGGTGACTTTGGGTGTCTTTCGGGCGACGGGTGTATCTCTGGAGGCCGCCTTTGGGATTCCGGGGGTGGGGGCCAAAGGAGGTATGCTTTGTGGCGGATAACCGGCCGCCCTCTCTTTTGTCCACCGAGGTAGCTTGGCAGATGTGAGGTTGCTATCCTGGATTGCTGGTTTACTGGCATGGAGGGTAGGGTATGACACGGGTTCCATGCCGCATCTGCATTACTTGCGGTGTTGAGGTCTTCTTGGGCACGGAGGGCGATTTCCGGCCCTTTCATTCCTCCTAGGAACTATTCCTCCCCATTCCCCCTTTTTTTTTATTCTTTTTTTTTTATTTTTAGTTTCTTCTTTTTTTTTTTCTTAAAAACAAAAAGAAAGAAGTAACCTAACCATGGAAGCCTTAGTCCATGAACCTGCTACCCCCGGGCCCCTTACTGGTACCGCACCCCATTCTGACCCTGCCTCGTTTTTTGACCACTCTTTGGACACTCCTGATGCCCCTCTACCTCTTTCTGGTGCTGTTTCATCACCAGCTTCAGGTACCGGGGTCTCGACTGATTCCTTTGATTTGTCTGACCTCCGCCCTCCTTTGATTATGCTTCCGGCCTCTCCCTCTACGGTGCAGCAATTTTTGAATCGCCAGCCCCACTTCTAAACGCCAACGACAATTGCCTGATGACG